TGACAGAGCGTTAGACTGCGCAGGTGTCGGTTAACTGGAGCCGCTCGAGTGATGTGCAGCTGCTTGCAAATAAGCGTCAGTGCCAGAACGCACAGTTGGCTGCGCTTGTACCATCTAACTCTGTTTATTTGTTTAGTCCTTGTTGTTCTTATCTTTCCGCGCTCCGGTTGAAGAAGTATAGCTAACGCTAAGATATTTGTATTGTAGGGATGATGTATTGTCGGTTGGCAAACATCTCAACAGACACATATTGAGAGTTCATATTAAGTTCCATATCTCTTTTTAACTGTAAAGGAGACAAAGATACAGTGAATGTAATGGGGTAATACAGGGGTGATGACATTAGATTGCCATTAATTGGATGTCAGCAAAACTAAAAATGTCCTGTTCATTTTGGCTCCATTTTCTGACCTGATACCCAAATACTACCCTACCCGTGCCCTCCGCTCCTCACAGGACCTCCTACTCGCTAGCTCCCTGGTCTCCTCCTCCCATGCCTAATTGCAGGACTTCTCCAGGACTTCTCCCATCCTCTGGAACTCCCTACCCTAATCCATCAGATTGTCACCTACCCTCCTCACCTTCAGGTGCACCCTGGAAACCTTCCTCTTCAGGGAAGCCTACCCCAACCTCACCTAACACCTGACCTCACCTAACAACTAGCCTCCTCTACTCCTCCCACCACTCCATCCCCCACAGCCGTCTCCTCCTGTACCACCTTCCCCTCCCTCCTAGATTGTAAGCTCGAAAGAGCAGGGCCCTCGAACCCCTCGTGTATTGTATTATTACTGTCTTGTCTTGCTACTGTACAGCGCTGAGCATACCCTTTGGCGCTATATAAATACTGTATAATAATAATAATTTTCCCATCAGCTTTAGAAATACAGTCATCTATCAATTTCATATCAAAAAGCATTCTAAACTAGGTTTTGTATAACATTGCTGAATTCAGCAGAGGGTTGTTGCTTTGGGTGTCAAAGGTTGTTGGTCTACAGGCCCCAGTGATGAAATCCAGCCCTCCTTGTAGGGGCCATCTTAATACATTCATGGGTTCCTGGGCAAATTAATGCACTGGGCCCCTACCAGCCTGCCCCAATTTATGCACCTACTCTCAAAAAAGAAGTATAAATAGTTGATAGAATTAAACATACATTAATTAGTACTTTCCACAAAGTACAGAGTTCCAGAAACTGTTGGACAAAAGTAGAGGGGGAGATTTAATTGTGGGTTGTAGGGTTACAGGCTAATGCTGTTTCCCGTGGCCCAGAATCCAGGAAGTTTCCTAGGACAAGGCCATCTTGGGACAGCTTAGTAAAAAGCCTGTGATTGTCCCGGCTAAATATGCATATGTTATATGCAAGATTATCATGTGCTCCCCATGCACCTGGGGCCCCTGGGCACTGCCCATGTATTAAGATGGCCTTACTCCATGTAGAAACGCAGAGGAGACTTTCTCCTTCATGTAGTCACACAGAGATGACTTCCCCCTTGCAGTAACACAGATAGACTCCTTGTGGTAACACAGATGGACTCCCTCCTTGTAGTAACACAGAAGGAACTCTCTCCTTGTAGTAACACAGAAGGGACTCTCTCCCTTGTAGTAACACAGAAGGGACTCTCTCCCTTGTAGTAACACAGAAGGGACTCCCTCCTTATAGTAACCCAGAGGGGACTCCCTCCTTATAGTAACATAGAAGGGACTCCCTCCTTGTAGTAACACAAAAGGAACTCCCTCCTTGTATCAACCCAGAAGGGGCTAGCTCTTTGTAATAACACAGAAGGGACTCACTCCTTGTAGTAACATAGAGGGGACTCCCTTCTTGTAGTAAAACAGAAGAGACTCTGTCCTTTGTAGTAAAACAGAGAGGGGTAACACAGAAGGGACTCTCTGCCCTTGTAGTAGTGGAAAACTCAGTTCTTGCAGTAACACTGGGGGGACTCTCTCCTTGTAGTAACGCAGAAGGGACTCTCTCCTTGTAGTAACACAGAAGGGACTCTCTCCTTGTAGTAACGCAGAAGGGACTCCCTTCTTGTATTAACACAGAAGGGACTTTCTCCTTGTAGTACCACAGAAGGGACTCTCTCCTTGTAGTAGCACAGAGGGAACTCCCTCCTAGTAGTAACACAGAGGGGACTCCCTCCTTGTATTAACACAAAGAAGGGACTCTCTCCTTGTAGTAACACAGAAGGAACTCTCTCCTTATAGTAACACAGAGGGAACTCTCTCCTAGTAGTAACACAGCGGGGACTCCCTCCTTGTAAACAGCAGAAGGGACTCCCTCCTTGTAGTAACACAGAAGGGACTCCCTTCTTGTATTAACACAGAAGGGACTCTCTCCTTGTAGTAACACAGAAGGGACTCTCTCCTTGTAGTAGCACAGAGGGAACTCCCTCCTAGTAGTAACACAGACTCCCTCCTTGTATTAACAGAAAGGGACTCCCTCCTTGTAGTAACACAGAAGGGACCTCTCTCCTTGTAATTAACACAGAAGGGACTCTCTCCTTGTAATAACACAGAAGGGACTCCCTCCTAGTAGTAACACAGAGGGAACTTCCCTCCTTGTAGTAACACAGAAGAAGGGACTTCCTCCTTGTAGTAACAGAAGGAACTCTCTCCTCATAGTAACAGACAGGGGGTTTTCTTCCTGTAGTAACATAGAGGAGACTTCATTCTTGTAGTAACACAGATAGGACTACCTCCTTGTAGTAACACAGAAGGGACTCCATCCCTGTAGCTCCCATGTCTTTAGCACTCTGGGTAGATCTTGGGGTGATATGCCAAGCCAGTTGCAATTTCCATTCCACACACCGTACATATTTCTATAGGCCTATTACTATCATAAGCATGTTTGCTGGCCATCAGGAAATGTTAAAACTCGCTTACTAAAGCCCTCTGACTCAGGACACCAGAGGTGCTGAATACAGAAGGTACAGTAAAGCTATACGAAGGGGCTGCTCAGTGCCTGCTTTGTAGTTGTGGAAACTTTTTTGGTGCCTTTATGGTGCTGACAACTCTACTTACAGTATATTTCAGAAATAACCCCTTCTTTATAATTGGAGTGGTGACATCTAAATTTTCTGGCCAACTACTTTGAATTTTCAGTCAAAGGGTTTTGGATGGGTGGGGGGGTCAACAGGGACACCCATGTTGTGAATTTTTACATAGTGTGTGGCCAGCTAAATTACCTTCTATTATAATAAAGAACATGCTGCCTTTTGTGAATGAAGCAGATCAGGCCAACTGCGAGAGGCATGTTTGGCCTGAATGGAAAAAAGAAGACTGCTATTCTCTGTAAAACTTTGTTTTAAAATGGACTCCGGTCACTGAGTTGTTAACCAGTTCAGGGAGGCTTGTTATGCTAAGTAGGTATTGGTCTAGAAATAATATCTACTTGAGAGAATCTAATTTGCAACTATTTCCCAGGAAGCACAGTTTGAAGTCTTAGTACTTTCCATTTATTACTCCATTGAAGTCATGTCTATGGAGCTTGTACTTCAATAAAGTTTCTTTATGGTTCTCTCATTACAAGAAAGGAGTTACCAGATATATGTAACCTGATATTATATTTTAACTAGCAATTTTTGCCCTGATGGAGTTTTTAATTTAGTTATATGCACTATAGCCAAGTAAACTGAATGTAAACAGATTATAGAATTCTACTCACTGGTAAGCAGGGGATTAAATAAATATATAATGATATATTATACGGTAGCCATCTTTGAATCCAGAACGAGGCTTGGGACAGTGGCGGCCATTCTTGGAAAGATCGCAGTCCAGTCCTGATGGTCTCAGCTATTGCCTATGTTCATTCGAGGCATCATTTGCATATATAGCAGTGACTTTACATGGGGTTCTGGCTCTCTGAGAATGTCATATTTGAAAAAAACGCATCAGTGCAGAGCCAAGCACATGACGTCATTGTGCACCAGAAGTGTTCGAAGACTGAATTAGGATCAATGTGTTTGTAAAGCACTGTATATGATCTGTGAGTGTACATGTATGGATGTCCGCTACCAAAAGTGTCCTGTGAGGTGGCTATTGAAGTTTCCTTTGGGCTCTGTGGGTAAGCGATTGAATACCTTTGAGCATTCCTGAATTTACTTTTCAATAGTTTTTATTGAATAATTTTACAAAGGAAATAGTGCAGAATTAAACAATTAACATCAATAAAAAGTGTGCCATCATATACACAAATAGAAACCCCAAAACATCAAATTCTACCATAACAAATGGTAGTGGAGTCAAGACCTAAATGGCGGCCAATACATAGTCAAGTACAGCTCATCTTGCCAGCACAATATACATAATATATAGTGATATAAAAGGAGTAGAAAGAGCAAAGAATAGAAAGGAAAATCCAGATGAGGGTCCTTAAGGCACAGAGAGGTAGTGAATCCACGGTCCCCATGTGGTATCAAATTTCTTGCAATTATTGTGTAAGCTACGGGTGGCGCAGTGGCTTAGTGGTTAGCGCGTCTACCTTACAGTGAATGGGTCATGGGTTCAATTCCTGACCATGGTGCCTCCTGCATGGAGTTTACATGTTCTCCCTGTGCTTGTGTGGGTTTCCTCTGGGTGCTCCAGTTTCCTCCCAAAGACATAGTGGTAGGTTAATTGGATCCTGTCTCAATTGGCCCTAATATGTGTATGTATGAATGTGAGTTAGGGACATTAGATTGTACACCCCTTGAGGGTCAGGGACTGATATGAATGTACAATATATATGTAAAAGTGCTGTGTAAATTGACAGTGCTATATAGGTACCTGAAATAAATAAGATACGGGTGAGTTTGTTGTTAACCATGATCCAGTTGAGTTTCTTTTTAACATGATCAAGGGGAATGACCAATTGTCGCCAGTGTCTAGCTATAGTAATCCTCGCAGCTAGAAACATATAGGAAATCAATATATGGGATTTCTTGGGAATATTTTCTGGAAATTTGTGAAAGAGCGCCATTCCTAAATGTAATCTACAATTGAGTTGTGTACCTTGAAGGGTGCCAGGCAAGGGCGGACTGACCATTTGGAAATTGGGCACTGCCCAAGGGCCCAGGGTCAGTAGGGGGCCCCATGAGATTCCCCTGGTACCTTTTTCACAGGTTTTTTTTGAGTTTGGGCAAGGGCACAGGGGCCCCATGATCCCCTATTGCCCGGAGGCCCCATGAGTTGTCAGTCCGTCCCTGGTGCCAGGGATACATACTTATGTGATTTTATGACCTTTCTATTAAATGAGAAGGTCATGGGATTTTGGTAAGCCTAAAGAGCTACCCTTGGTGACGGCTCACTTCACCTGTGTGGGATGCACTATCCTGTCTCATTCCAAAAGTGCAATATTTTATATTTTCACACTCAGCACTTTATTTTACTGAAGTGCAGCACATTTTTGTATTGAGGTTAAATATTTCTGATGGATGGTGGAGATGTTGTTTTCCTGTTGGTCAATCCCTCTCTTACGATAGCTGAGGTCAGGCCAGTGGATACACTTCTCCTCCCCTGACCATAGCTGAGGTCAGGCCAGTGGATACACTTCTCCTCCCCTGACCATAGCTGAGGTCAGGCCAGTGGATACACTTCTCCTCCCTTGACCATAGCTGAGGTCAGGCCAGTGGATACACTTCTCCTTCCCTGACCATAGCTGAGGTCAGGCCAGTGGATACACTTCTCCTCCCTTGACCATAGCTGAGGTCAGGCCAGTGGATACACTTCTCCTCCCTTGACCATAGCTGAGGTCAGGCCAGTGGATACACTTCTCCCCTGACCATAGCTGAGGTCAGGCCAGTGGATACACTTCTCCTCCCCTGACCATAGCTGAGGTCAGGCCAGTGGATACACTTCTCCTCCCTTGACCATAAACTGAGGTAAGGCCAGTGGATACACTTCTCCTCCCTTGACCATAGCTGAGGTCAGGCCAGTGGATACACTTCTCCTCCCCTGACCATAGCTGAGGTCAGGCCAGTGGATACACTTCTCCTCCCCTGACCATAGCTGAGGTCAGGCCAGTGGATACACTTCTCCTCCCCTGACCATAGCTGAAGTCAGGCCAGTGGATACACTTCTCCTCCCCTGACCATAGCTGAGGTCAGGCCAGTGGATACACTTCTCCTCCCTTGACCATAGCTGAGGTCAGGCCAGTGGATACACTTCTCCTCCCCTGACCATAGCTGAGGTCAGGCCAGTGGATACACTTCTCCTCCCTTGACCATAGCTGAGGTCAGGCCAGTGGATACACTTCTCCTCCCTTGACCATAGCTGAGGTAAGGCCAGTGGATACACTTCTCCTCCCTTGACCATAGCTGAGGTCAGGCCAGTGGATACACTTCTCCTCCCTTGACCATAGCTGAGGTCAGGCCAGTGGATACACTTCTCCTCCCTTGACCATAGCTGAGGTCAGGCCAGTGGATACACTTCTCCTCCCCTGATCATAGCTGAGGTCAGGATAGCAGATACAGTGCAGAATTATCTAATGAAGAACTCTGGAGAAGCAGCCTGATACGTATAGTGTGCTTAGCGGATATGGCCGGGGCAGCGGATGGGTAAAAAAAAGATGACAGGTTGGTAATTACACATGCATGGCTACAGTTGGAAAATGTGCTAGTAAATCCAGGCGATAGCATATACTGTATATTTTGCTCTGTTATGTTGAAGCCCAAATGAAGTCACACTTTTTTTTGTCTTGATAGTCTTGTACAGCTGTAAATTATAATTTTATTACTGATTTTTGAAATTTCTTGAAATAACTTTTTTTTAAATTAAAAACAAAGTCTTCCTGCCTCCTTCATCAGCGCTCTATGCTGGAATAGATGAGAGATGGTCACATCCTTCAGCACAAGTGTCCTCCTCACACAAACTGGGGGGATGGATTTCCTTTATTCTGTAGCACTCAACTTGGCGTATTTATTTTAAAATAAATGTGTAGGCGATCTACTGTTCTCACTTACATTTTGGCAATATTTAATTGTATCGGCACCTTAGCAGATCGCAAGATTTTATTTTTTATTTAAGTCTATAAGCGCTGAATCTTGTTATTTTTTTCTGTCCTTTTTTCAAAGCTAATTTGCAAGCTTTTGTTTAACCCCTTCACGCCTAAGGGTAAAACAAATCTAAATGCCTAAGCACAATTCTGCAACGTTGACGTGCTAGTAAAACCGTACATATCGTCACAACTACTTTGTACATCCAGGTGGATTATACCTTGTTTTTTTCAGGACAAATTGGGCTTTCATTTGGTAGTAAATGGTCATGGATAGCTCCTAATTTTTTTTTATTATTAAAGGAAAAACTGGGCCAAAATAGTAAAAAAAATCATTTTTTTAAATTTAACTGTGTGTTTCTTGTTACGACCATAACCTACCACCAAAGAACAACTCAAAATACATTCTCCAGTTCTTGACGATCGCAGCGATACCATATTTGTGTATGTTATTTGTTGTTTGTACCCGTAGTGCAGTCCAGAAACAACAGTGCGCATTTTGTTTTTGTCTTTTTTTTTTTATATAAAACACACTGTCACTGACATTGACATTAACACTAACTGACACTGATACCAATTTTTTTTTTAAAATCCTGACCTTTGACCCTGACCTTTGCCCTTGACCCTGACCTTTGACCCTGACCTTGACCTAAACACTAACCCTGGTACTGAACTAGATCAAACCTTGATCTAGGTATTTTTCTTTATTTTTTTTCTTTTATTTTTTAATATTTATTTATCTTTTTTTTTTTTTTTACAAACTTTTTTTTTTCTCTCTCTGTGTCAGGAGTTCGAGAGATACAATGTATCTCTCTTCTCCATTCATAGACAGAGAGAAAACAAGGGGGCCGGGCTGCACAGTGATTGATCACTGTGATAGCCAATCAGAGGCTATCACAGCGATCACGTGACCCGGAATCGGGAGTCCCGGATCCCGATCGTTAGAAACGGGACCCGGGGCTCTCAGTGACACCGCGGTCTTGGTGCTGGGAGCGCGCCGAGCGGCGCGCTCCCAGCACAAAGACAGGTACGCAAATATGCGGCCCCACGGAAAAAAAGCCCAGGTCCGTGAGGCCGCATATTTGTGTTACGTCGGCGTCAAGGGTTTTTAAAGTGATATTAAAGCTTCACATTTTGATTCATTAAAATAACAAACATGTTATAGATACCTGGCTTTAGCTGTCAAGTAAACTGTCAATTACATTTTGTACCAGTAACAGTAAAATCAGTCTGTATATGCAGTAAAGCATGCTTGTTATACTGACTATGGAACCTAATCCTCTGCATCATGTAAAAAGGCTGTATGATCCTGACTTCTCTTCCCCTCCTCTTGTTCAAATGTCCACGCTGATAAGACAGACTGAACCGTAGCCCTTCTGCACATGCTCAGTTTAGTGTGTATTGCTAGAGAGGGTTTTTTTTTTCTTGGGAAGAGTGCATGTGATCAACACAGGGCCAATCAGCTGTCTAGACAGAGGGTCAGGGGTTATGCAGCCTCATAGGACAATCAGGAGAGAATGAAAACTCCTCCTACAAGCTTTACCCAGTGCTCTGCTGAAGTCACAAGACTGCTCTAACTGCTGATGAGAAAAGGTATTTAGCAGTTTATATTTACTAAAATAATTACACTTCCGTGTTCTGTGTACTGTGGGAGACCAGATAGAGTGGATGCAAGGTCCTGAGTTTAGTAATTCTAGGGCTATCATTCTGATCCTTTCTGCAGCACTGTGAAAAATGTTGGTGCAATATAAATGAGTAAAATAAATGACAATATCCAAATGGTATAATATTGATATTTGGTTTGCATCCTTCTGAAAGTCTGCTACTTTTATTTCTGTTTCCCACTTTTTTCCTGTCTAAGAGTTAATGCCTCCTCCCTTTTGCTCCATTCTAATAGCTTCTGGTCCTCGTACTAGATGATAAAGTGTACGGCTGTCTCTGAATGATTTAATGGGTTGCTCTCTCCAGTTTGCTGAGCTGGGCAGGCAGATCGCTGTATTTTTCTGGCCGCTCGATTAAATCATGAAGGGGAGAGAGGAGATCTATCTCTAATAAGTTGGACTTGGAAGGCGCCCATTGTTGTTTTTTTTTTTTCATTTTGGGACCTTTTTCCAAAAAGTGGGGCAAATGCAGGAATAATAGATCTTCACAGTCTGCCTTGATTCACTGCACAACATTCCCACTATTATGTTCCCATCTGAACCTATGCATTGCAGTAATGTGTGGCGAAATGCACATTTTTACAGAGCGTTAACATAATACAATCACATTGTTTACAGCACTGCCATTCAGTCAAAATGGCAGTTGAATGCACAGGTAGAGTAGGTGCCAACAGACTCACACTGCAGCCAACCACAATGCAGATGCCATGCATTGTGGCGCACTGTGTTACGAAAATGCTGCTTTTTACTCTGTTGTATGTTTATTAAAATTGGAGCAGCCAGAATTTGGAGTAGCTGTGCATGGCAGCCAATTGGCTTCTATCTTCAGCTTGTTCAATGAAGCTTTAAAAATGAAAGATAGAAACTGATTGGCTGAAATGCACAGCTGCTCTAGTTTTGATAAATTCCTTTCAATGTATGTTAAAGCAGAACTCTGGGCAAAAACTTCTTTACATGTCCTTGTTGCTGATTTCCTACCTTTACTGAATTTGTCATCCATCTTCTGGTTCACTTACTAGTTCACAGGTGTCAAACTGGTAGCCCTCCAGCTGTTGCCAAACTAAAAGTGACATGAGGCATTGCAATATTGACAGTTACAAGAATGACTCCCAAAGGTAGAGGTATGATGGGACTTGGATGGCCTTGGATGCAGACTTGGATGGGACTTGGATGCAGCTGGAAGGCCGCCAGTTTGATTCCCCTGCACTAGCTGCTCTAAAATAGCCTACTCATTTTCAAATCAAACTGTTAATTCTCTTTGGTTTCCTGTTTGTAAGACCAGTGGCTGCTATGTCTCTTATTCCCCAGCCACTGATCTTGGCACATCCCTTCTGTAGTTCTTTCTCCAGGAGGCAGTGATGTAATTCGGCCCCACTTGCAGTAGTAGGCGGACCTAGACTCTCAGACATATTCAACACATACATGCCTAGTGTACCGCCCACATTCACTACAATTCCCCGTGGTTGATGGGAAGTGTAGTTTCCTAGTAGGAAAGTGTAGTTTCCTGTTACGGCAGAGAGAGAGGAGAGGATATGATGTAATCCCTGCTGTTACACCTCTTCCTTGGCAGAGCAGATGCTGATATCTTTTGAATTACAGAGATGAGGTCATGGACATTCAATTATACTATTCTCCTAAATGGTAAAGATTTTCAAAATTGTATTAACCATTTAATGTTTTGTGTGTGGGGGTGTGTACTAATAGGTGATTTTTTTTTCTTCTTTGATTCTTCTTTAAAGTGTAAAAAAAAACCCTGGCATTAACGAGGGCATGGTAGAGAATCCCAATGAATTGCAAGGGTCTGAAGGGAACCTAAGGCTAGGTTCACATCTATGCAGAATGCGGACTGTGCGATTTCACAGTGCATATTGTGTTTTTGAACACGCATTTTGATGCTTTTTTTACCCAATAGAAAACTATTGATTTTGAGGCGACTTTGATGCAGCTTTGGATGGGTGCGACTTTGGTGGCACTTGAGTGCCAGAAAGTGTAAAGTTGCAACACAGTCACACTACATGAGCAGAAAGTCATACTTTCCTAATAACCAAAAAAAGTTGCATCAAAGTTGCACCCATCCAAAGTCACATCAAAAATGCAACATTTGCATTTTTGGTGCAGTTCCACAAAGGGCAATTGCACAAAAAACGCAATCTGCTGCTGGAAAAAAAGTCCTTGACCCTTTCAAAAAAACGCACTGGCTCAAAACTAGATACATAGAAAACCATGTTAAATGAACTGTAACATGTTTCTGCAAACTGGAAAATGCACTGAAATCCGCATAAGTGTGAACCTAGGGCAGGGGTAGGCAAACTGTGGCTCTCTAGCTGTTGTGGAACTACATTTGCCAGGCATTGCAAGATTACAAAACTGATGGTTACAGCTATGACTTGAAGAGGCATGATGGAACTTGTAGTGCTGCAACAGCTGGAGAGCCGCAGGTTGCCTACCCCTGACCTAGGGTAAGTGGACACAGGTCTGCAACAAATGAGTAAATGTCCTTCAAGACCAATGATCTAGTAAATCCCCTTTATTTCCAGTAGCTAGATGTCCATTGGAAGTAAGAAAAGTCCATCAGTTCAGTGTAGGCAAATCAAAATCTGAGGATAGAGAAAATGGCAACCTGGCAAAAGAGATGGGAATTGATGTGTGAAAAGAGAAGAATGATCATTTGCTCTGCCATGAATGCAGGGCTCAACGCAAGGACCCAGCCAAAATAATTACTGTCTATATGTCTCATTCACAAGTCATGCAGTGGAGTGCATTAAAGCAGAGTTCCACCCAAAAGTGTATGCCTCCTCCCCACCCTCCGGTGCCACATTTGGCACCTCATGGGGGGGAAGGGGTACCTGGTTTTGATAGGCACCCACACCCCACTACCGGCTCAGTTTGCCACAGCCAGAAAGTCCTGCCCCCTCCCCTCAGCCATTTGGGAAATTCATGAGGTCCCAGAGGACTGCGGCCCATTCACAAAGCACAGTGCGCTTCGCACATGCGCAGTAGGAAACCAGCTTTGAAGCCGCAAGGTTTCACTGAAGGGTTTCCTTAGTCAAGATGGTGGTGCCGGCCCCCAAAAGGCGATTGAAGAAACGGCTCGGGGTGAGGACAGCACTGGATCCCAGGACAGGTAAGTGTCCTTACATTAAAAATATTTGTAGCTGCTGACTTTTAATTTTTTTTGTGTTTTTGGGGGGCGGAACTCTGCTTTATGGAAAAATGTAGGCATGTTGCATTTTTAAATGCAATTTAAAAAAAAAAGGTACTTGAGCTACGCTGGAGCATTTGTCGTCTGTTGGGTAGCTCATTCACATAAATGAGCTTCCCTATGCTGTCATGCAACAAACACATCGGAAAACGCACTTGAGTTGCATCGTGCAGGTGTGAATGCAGCCCAACTGACTTTCTTTTTCTCACACTCTCTTTTATTTAATACAATATTGATTTAACTATTTTCATCTTTTTTTGCATCTCAGGGCTGCTGATGATCTCCTGCAGCTTCTACTTGCACTCCAGCAATGGCTTCATTCCACTTCTTACAGAAAAAAAAAAGGATAACATTTCCTGATTGTAAGCCTCCATCCAACAATTAGAATAGTATCTCTGCAGTTTTGTACGTCAATAATGATACCAATGTATATCTTCTATGACCAGTCAAACACAGTCATACTGTGTGGCAGAACTGTTCCGCCTGGGCTTCCTCGTGCGGAGCGATGCGTCTCACCCAATGGTCCCCTTTTCTGGCAAGTCTTCCAGTGCTCTGCCAAGGCAGGTATTAGAGCTCAAAACCAATCCTTCCCTGCTATCCCAAACTACGAGTCGGAACTTCGTGTAGGGTGAAATGAATGAATCTTTAATAAACACAGCTCAGTATATACAGCTTCACCCCCACCAGACAGTCTGGCACAGGGTTTTCCCCACCCACAACAAAACCCTACAACCAACAATACAGTATGAACTCTATAGAAATGAAAGACTCAAATTTCCTAAACAAACAGTGTAGAATGTCTGTCTACATACCAGCTGCTAAACATATGCAGCTTTACCAAGCGGAGAAAACTGAAACAGAAAGGGCAAAATGTTATCACAAAGGGACGGATTGTCACATACTGGGTATCCTTATCATGTAATTTCATACTCAATGCTGTACTATGACTCTGTATGATGTATTGTTTTATATGTCTATGTGTCATAACAATTTTTTGACAAATAAAATTTGTACTTTTTTAAAATATTTTTGGAACTATTTAAGCCCTCAAAGTCCCAGTCCTAGGGGGGTCCCTCCTTTTTCCATTCATTCCACTTCTTAGGGTGAGTTTCCTACCAGTAACAACAGCAGACCATGGCCACTTGTGCTGAAATCCCACTTGTAGTCTCATTCGGAAGCGAATTTGACAGGGTGACAACACAGGAGCTCAATTGGTAAGCATACAGAGAGCGTTGTCACCCCATAACAGGAAGTGCCTAAGCAAGGACATCCCTTCATTGCAAGATCACTAAGTATAAACAAAAACTGCAGATTTAAAAATATGAATGATTTTTTTAAACTACACTAACACGCAAAGGCTTATATGAGATTTCATTAATTGGGTTTACATGTACTTTAAATCTTCGGATTTTCAATGCAGCACCGAAGCCTCACTCCAGACTCCAGAATTGATTGTTTCCTCGCAGCCCCTGGGAAAGAGTTAAACATGATCCGCCGTTTCTCCCCATAACACCAAACATCTCCCATCTGTTGGAAGCTCGTTTGTACCTTTAATTAAAACAAAAGCAGCCTTTGGTGAAGGTAATTATGCTCTGGCAACAGCTCCCTGGCTGCAGTGTTTTCAAGAGAGCTTTTCTTTTGACTCACAATCTGTCTGGGCAACAGGACCTGTGCCAGGTAGAGAAAGAGTGGGTGGGCATGGCACTGGTAAACGATTAGCCGCGATAACATATTCAGGGGTCGCTATTTATTTTATAGGCTTGTAATATTAAATTAACCCTCTGTGGCCCGTTGAGATTCCATTTTCATAGGAGATGTTATAACTTGTTTTTTTCTGGTTCTAGCAGCGGGCAGAGGGACAATTACACTCTGTTTTCAGAAAAGCTGCATGGTTTTATGTTTCTCTGTAACAGTAAGTGGTTTTCAAAGCCAAAAAATCATTGGCCGTTGTATTGAACCGGTCGTACGTTTTTATCTCGAAGACGCAACTGAAATGTAATTGTCATCAGGAAGCTATTACATAAAATTTTAAATAGGGGTCGTATAATTTTTTATGTACTGCTCGGCGCAATATCAACTGGGAGTAGTGGATTATTGTGAAGTAATATAACAAAAATCAGAAGGGCTCTGGGGTCATACTAAGACAGATCAAAAGAGAAAAAAATAGGAAACTATCTTGCCTGTAGTAATTATCATAACCAATGGGACTCTGGGGGGGCGGGGAGAAGATTAAAGGATAGGCTCACCTTTTTACCAAAAATAATAAATGCACATTTTTTGCAGGTTGTAGGAGCCTGGAAACCATTGCACCAGCAATCAGTAGATCGTTGGTGCCATGCCGGTCTCCTGCAGATCTGTCAGTGTCAGTATATCTGCCGTGTGGGCAAGCAACCCCCACTATCCTTGACAAACCCCACCAACTTAAAAAACAACAACAAAAAAAAATCAAACATATGTGAATAGGTGGTCATGTGATGCACCATGTCTTCTTTCTGCAAGGTTGGATGGTCTTTCTTTTGCTGCCATGATATAGACACGTCCTATTGACTGTCCAGTGGCAGAGTTTTCTGCTGCTGCAGAAAACGACACTATCCTAAAGACATTACAAGGACTGATCTAGGGTGTGCCTGGACCAGGGGTGGACTGACCATTTGGAAACTTGGGCACTGCCCAAGTATGGGGCCCCATGAGATGCCCCTGGTACCTTTTTCACAGGCTTTTTTGAGTTTGGGCAAGGATCCCCTATTGCCTGGGGGCCCCATGCGTTGTCAGTCCACCCCTGGCCTGGACTGTGGTGCCCTCACTCCTGAAAGGGATGCCATTGGGTTTCAAGAGCCAGTGGACTCAGGTGAGTAGCTCTTGAAGACCGTGAAGTGCAGACTTGAGCATGGCTGCACAAAGGAGTGAATAAGGCCATGGCAGACTGAAAAGGAGTTGGCTGAGTGCATCAAAAACCTACCCTGAATGTATAAAACCATGCTGCCTGCACTTGGGACTTTCTAGCCCTGATGAAGGGGGTGTTCTGGAACCCACAAAATGCATTGGCTACTTTTTGGATTGTCCCCCCTGACTTTTGTTGGAATAAGGTTGTATCTGTATCTCTTATCAGTGGTGTGGTGCTTCAATTTTCATTTTTGTTACATTACTCTGCAAGCCAAGGAGACCATGGAGATCCTCTGGGGTGTAGAAGCTGCCCAGGAACTAGATCACTTACATCACGGGTGCCAAACTCAATTTTACCACGGGCCGCATCAGCATTATGGTTGCCTTCAAAGGGCTGGTTGTATCTGTATGACTATATATATGACTATATACTCTTTATCATAGTAAATAGTTGCCTCTGCATTCATTTATTACTGGTTTTTAGTAATAACTGAAGGCTTAATCTGTGAAGGGCAGGGGCAGACCGGCACAGAGCCCACTCACACTCCTGTAGCAGATGATGCAAGTCTGATAAGGAGGGTCGCACTGGTATCATCCACAAGAAACTTGTATTGGTGACTGCTCAGGCTGAATATGACTCTACCATGGTGTTCTATGTGAGCAGTCTCCAACAAAGTTTCTTGTGGATGATACCAGCAGTGTGGACCCTCCTTTTCAACTGGCATAGAACTTAAGAGTCCCCCACCCTCCCTTACATCGCGGTGCACCCCCCCCCCTACCTTGTGCTGGAAGAAGCTGGGAGGGGGAGCTGGGAAGCAGAAAGTGCAGGGTCTGGAGGAGGACCAGAGGAGGTCTGGAGTCTGCTGAATGCTGAAACCAGGGGAGGACTGTTCAATATGTGGTGTTGGGATATGCATATTTATTGACGTTAAGGATTTGTTTGTATTTGTTGTTTTTCTTTTGCTTTACAAAATATTGGGTGAATTATCATTTTTAGCAAGTGCTCTTTTATATCAATTTGGCTTTAATAGTGTTTCACTCCTATTAGGGCCAGCTGTCCAAATGTAACCACATAGGTCACAAACTGTTTTTGTTTTGTTGGTTTTTTTGTTAGCATGGTAATTATTTGCCACAAGTAGGCACCACAGTATTGGGTTTTTGTTTTATGCAATTATTTTAGTAAATTTAAACTTCTAAATACCTTTTCTCATCAGCAGTATATAGCAGTCTTGTGACTTCTATCAATATCCAACAGAGCACTGCTTAAAGCGTGTAGGAGGAGTTTTCATTCTCCCCTATGAGGCTGCAAGACCCTTGACCTCTGTCTGGACTGTGCTGATTGGTCCTGTGCTGCTCACATGCACCCTCCCCCCAAAAAAAGAAAAGCTCTCTAGCAACACACACCAAACTGAGCATGTGCAGCTTGCTTCCAAACCTCTGTTCTATCAGGAGATATATTGGCGACAGTAGAAGAAGGGGAGGATCAGAGAAGGCATGATCATACAGCCTTTTTACACAATGCAGAGGATTAACCCCTTAGGTTCCACAGTGAGTATAACAAGCATGCTTTACTGCATATACAGACTGATTTTAGTGTTGTGGGTTTAGTAACACTTTAAGTAAAAAAAACCTGACCGAGATAAAGGATTGGTAGATTGGAGGTAGGATTCGGGGAGTAGAGGCATGGGGGGAGGGGTTTTAGGTGAACAGCTCCATAGCTTACGTTTCCACCCTTTGGGTGATGGCATTGCATGATTTTTTAAATGGATACATAACTGGGTAACAAGTTTTTATATCTGCCTGGAGTCCAGCTTTAATTTTTTTTTTTTTTTTGCTATATTGCAAAGCTTTGACAGCGGGAAGGGCAACTGTGTATGAATAAATGTGAAACCTCAATTTTTTCTATAGTGATGTAGACATTACCGCGATCTCTCCTGCCCATTAAGGGATATCTAGGCAGCACAGTCCAAACTGGAAAGACCTAAGTGATTAGTCAGCTTAGCAGTGTGACCATCTCTTTCACACAGAGGATCCCCGAGGCACATAATGCCTGTATCATTAACATTTAGAAATGGACGGAATGGGGGGATTGCCGCTGAGAACAGTCCTGACTGAGCTTTTCTGGAAATAAAACTGGCATATTTTAACCCATCAGTCTGCGTGGCAGCAATGAACCAATATTAGAGACACTGCCAACTGGCGAGACGCTATGTAGCTGGAAAGCAGAGCTGGCCGCGTGCCAAACAAATAAACTATCACTACGCAAGATGCCTATGCAAATCAGCCTCATTATGTAAATTAAGCACGCAGGATGCCTGATAGAGTCCTGTGACAGGGATATTCCCTGCTGTGACCAAACTGTGTGTGTGACTGCCAAGGACATGTACAAAGCAGCGCCTAGCGACATAACCAAACGCACTTGCACCTCCCAGGCAGATAACCCTTAATCTACCCATGGGTTTTGTCCAGCAATATGGCACATAAAAACCACAGGGGTTGCAGTCTGGGAAAATGGGCCAATAAGGGTGGGGCAGTGACCGCCAATATTTTCCATTATATAGCGCAGAGGTCTCCAAATTGCTGTCTGTAGGATGAATGCGGCCCTTTGCTTGCCTTTTTCCAGCCCTTGGGGCACTATTCCTCCCAATAGCACCAACAAGAAGGCACCATTCTATCCCATTAACACCAATAAGGAGGCACCATTCCTTCCAATGGCATCAACAGTGGGGAACCATATCTCTCACTGAAGCCGGCAAGGGGGAATGGAATTTTTCCTTCCACTGATATAAATAATTAGGCCCTAATGCCCCCAGTGATACTAATGATGGGACATTATTCCTCCCAGTGATACCAATCATGGTGCACTATTCCTCCCTCTAATACCAATAATGGGACACTATTCCTCCCACTAATACCAATAATGGGACACTATTCCTCCCACTAATACCAATAATAGGACGCTATTCCTCCCACTAATACCAATAATGGGACGCTATTCCTCCCACTAATACCAATAATGGGACACTATTCCTCCCACTAATACCAATGATGGGACACTATTCCTCCCACTAATACCAATGATGGGACACTATTCCTCCCACTAATACCAATGATGGGACACTATTCCTCCCACTAATACCAATGATGGGACACTATTCCTCCCACTAATACCAATAATGGGACATTATTCCTCCCACTAATACCAATAATGGGACACTATTCCTCCCACTGATACCAATAATGGGGCACTATTCCTCCCACTGATACCAATAATGGGGCACTATTCCTCCCACTAATACCAATGATGGGACACTAGTCATCCCACTGATACCAATATCGGGGGGAACTATTCCTCCCACTGATACCAATGACGGGACACTATTCCTCCCACTGATACCAATGACGAGACACTATTCCTCCCACTGATACCAATGACGAGACACTATTCCTCCCACTGATACCAATGACGAGACACTATTCCTCCCACTGATACCAATGACGAGACACTATTCCTCCCACTGATACCAATGACGGGACACTATTCTTCCCACTGATACCAATGACGGGGCACTATTTTTCCCACTGATACCAATGACGGGACACTATTCCTCCCACTGATACCAATGACGGGACACTATTCCTCCCACTGACACCAATGACGGGACACTATTCCTCCCACTGATACCAATGACGGGACACTATTCCTCCCACTGATACCAATGACGGGACACTATTCCTCCCACTGATACCAATGACGGGACACTATTCCTCCCACTGATACCAATGACGGGACACTATTCCTCCCACTGATACCAATGACGGGACACTATTCCTCCCACTGATACCAATGACGGGACACTATTCCTCCCACTGATACCAATGACGGGACACTATTCCTCCCACTGATACCAATGACGGGACACTATTCCTCCCACTAATACCAATGACGGGGACACTATTCCTCCCACTAATACCAATGGTGGGACACTATTCCTCCCACTAATACCAATGGTGGGACACTATTCCTCCCACTAATACCAATGATGGGACACTATTCCTCCCACTAATACCAATGGTGGGACACTATTCCTCCCACTAATACCAATGGTGGGACACTATTCCTCCCACTAATACCAATAACGGGACACTATTCCTCCCACTAATACCAATAACGGGACACTAGTCCTCCCACTTATATCAGTCATGGAGCACTATTACTTCTCCAAGCCCAAGACATTGTTTACTCCCACTGACACTGGGGCATTTTTGTATTCCCACTGGCCACTCCGGCCCCCCTAAAGACTGAAGAACAGTAAACTGGCCCTTTGTTTAGAAAGTTTGGAGACCCCTGATATAGAAGGTAGACTGACTGTAGATATCAACCACAACTAGGAATATCTACTACAGAAAAAGAAGAATTAAATGGATGATGCATGTTATTTAAAAAATATGTAAACCCAACATTTCAAATTGCAGATAGGTGCCTGCTGTACCATGTACTTTTATGAAAAAGTATCCTGTTCTCTTTGCATTGCTTCCTTTGTGTGAAATCCCTGGTGTTCCTGCCAGTTCCTCTGCTTTACTATTGATAACTGACCACACTAGGCATGGGAGCACATTCTGGTCATTGTTCTGGCTGTGCTGGGAGCTAATCCAATGGTCAGGCTTATGCTGACATGCCCCTCCCCTCCCCCCTGCACAGCCATTTACTAGGAAGATCAGTGCACTGCTGTTTCACCTGCCCCAGCACTATTGCAGCTGAGAACAGAAGGTATGGGATCACTTGTAAAAGAATGGGGAAACAGGTTTTTTATAATGGGTTTTTTATATCTATACATAAATGTTTTGCTTTTAATTTTTACTTTAAACTGAATGGGTTGTTTTACAAGATGAGGGTTTACATATACCTAAAGATGAACTCCATGATCTATATTGCATACTTACATTGGAC